CTAAAAAGAGAACTCTGAACAGAGGAATCTCAAATGGCTGAAAGATATTTAAGGGAATGCTCAACATCATTAGTCATCAGAAAAATACAAATCAAAACCATTCTGAGATTCCATCTTACGCCTGTTAGAATGGCCAAGATCAAAAACTGATGACAGCTTATGCTGAAGAGGATATGGAGTAAGGGGAATACTCCTTCTCCACTGCTGGTGGGAGGGCAAACTTGTACAGCCACTTTGGAAATTAGAATGGCAGTTTCTCAGAAAATTGGAAATCAGTCTACCTCAAGATCCAGCAGTATCACTCTTGGGCATATACTCAAAGGATGCACACTCACACCACAAGGACATTTCTACAACTATGTTCATAGCAGCCTTATTTGTAATAGCCAGAACCTTGAAACAACCTAGATACCAGACAAGGAAAATGTGGTACATTTACAGAATGGAGTACTACTTAGCAGTAAACAACAATAACATCTTGAAATTTGCAGGCAAATTGATGGAACTAGAAAAAGCCATCCTGAGTGATATAACCCAGGCCCAGAAAGACAAATGTAATATGTATTCACTCATAAGTGGATATTAATGGGGGATGTCCTTCTGTATGCTGTGAATATATGTTTCTCTTATTGGTTGATGAATAAATGATGATTTACCAACAGCCAGGCAGAAAGTATAGGCAGGGCTACCAGACCAGGAGAATTCTGGGAAAGGGGAAGGCAGAGAGGAGCCTCCAGAGAGATGCCATGTAGCTGCTGGAGGAGTAACATGTCAGAGCATTACAGGTAAACCACAGCTCATAGCATGCATAGTTTAATAAAAATGGGTTAATAATTAAGAGAGAGCTAGCCAATAAGAAGCCTGAGCCACTGGCCAAACAGTTTATAATTAATAAAAGCCTCTGTGTGTTCATTTGGGACTAAACAGCTGTGGGCCCAGGGGACAGAAACCTCCATTGTCAGGATATTAGAGATAAAGTAAAAGACAACCAGCTTACAGGCCACAACCCTAGAGAACCTAAGTGAAAAAGAGGACCCTAAGAGAGACATACATGGATCTGCCTAGGAAGGGGGAAAAGACAAGATATTCTGAGTAAATTGGGAGCATGGGGGAAGAGGGAGGGTAGAAGGAGAGAGGGGAGAAGAGAAGGGGAGTAAGGAAAAATGTGTAACTCAATAAAAAAAGTAAACTAAAATAAAAATTCAAGTTTTCCTTAAAAATACAAAGTTTCTTAACTCTGGACTCTTTTGAAACAAAGAATACAACAAGTTCAGTGGTTTCTTAAACCAACAAGGAAGAACAAGAGCCCAGTTACAGTCAGATCAAAGCAAACCCAAATTCAGTGGTGTAAAAAAGCTCAGTGTCCTATGCCTGGGACTCATACGTGATCTTCTGGGTTCCAAAGAGCTTGAGCATTTCCACCTGTCTGGCTCTGGCTCCAGGACACACACTGTACAGTCTACACCTGCTACTGTCCTTGGTGGTCCTGTCATTTAGCAGCTGTGTCATCTCCAATACTCTGGGGCCTCCACTCTGCACTTTCACCAATGTCCACCTTTCCTCTCCTCGGGGACTCCGACGCTGCCTTGCAACCCTCAGGTTCTCCTCATGACCACCCTCAAGCTTGCAGCTTCTGTGGTGTTAGTGGGGAGACTCTTAACACATCCCAAATTCACTTGCCAGCTTGTACTGTGTAGCCTTGGGCCCTCTGGACCACAGTTTATGTGCTGACCCTGGGAAAATACCTTCCAGAAGATTCTTCAGTTATGCAGGTCTCTTATTTACTCTCAGCTGATTCTAGCTAGCCAGCATCCACTGACTTTCCCAGCAAAGCCAAGGTTTCACTTCAGTGGCGCTGTTTTTGTGTTAGTCACAGCCGATTCTTCAACCTCTCCTGACCAGAATTCACGGTTCTTAACTCAAATACATCACATAAATGGCCCTGATAGAATCTTTGCTTCCCTTTGAAACTTCATGAGCCAGACCTCCGCTTTTTGCATCTCTCTCAGCATTGTCTTAACAAGTTCCCACAGAACAGTTCCCTTAGCCCCAAACACTCAAGGGCTTCCCCAGCCCAAAGTTCCAAATGCCTCTAGAGTCCTCCCTTAAAAGACATTCTCAGGTCTGTCGCAACAATACCCCATGTTCCTTGCACCAATTTCTGTCCCAGTTTGCTTTTTCTCTTTTGGTTTATTTCATCTTACATCTCACAGATCACAACCCATCATTGAGGGAAGTCAGATCAGGAACTGAAGCAGAGACCATGGAGGAGTGCTCCTTCCTGGCTTGCTTTCCATGGTTTGATACGTCTGCCTTCTTACACAACCCAGGACCACCTGACCCAGGCTATGACCTCCCACTTAAATCTCAATCAAAAAATAAAATGCCTACAGGCTAGCTAATACAGAGGGCTGGTGTACGTTAGGACAAACACTTGAGTCTAAGGTTAATTAATGCAGCACATTGACTTTTCCAAAGACGGTCCAAGAGAATATCTCCTATTACATTTTTATACCCCTCCCTCCGAAATTGAGAGGTATCATGTATGCATGTTTTCAGTGCTGGGATGCATCCCATAGCCTCATTCATGCCGAGCAAGTATTTAACAGCTGGCTACATTCCCACCTGGAGAAGTAAGTTTTGTGACCTCTAGTATAAGGCGCGGAAGGGTTCAGACAAGGTGTGTTGTGTTGTGGGATTTCAATTCATTTAGCCAATGACTTTTGGGGTAGCAAGCCCTAGGGTGTGGTCTTATCTCCCTACATGACAGCTTAAAAGCTGAGGGAGAGGGTCATGCATGCTCTTGCTCTCGGAATCTCTTGGGTGGTTGGAGCAGAGCAGGTGGCTTGAGGTTGGCGCTCTCCACCCCTGGGCAAGAATGACTGGAGGAGGCAGCTGGATCAGCGGCAGTGTCTAATTGGTTCTGTATCAGTGAGTCTTTGTTCCCAAACTATACCTAAATAAATTCTTGAGACCCTTCAACAGACTTGTGGCTTCACATAACAGTGTTGTGATTTGTAAGGCTAACCTACACAAGACAGTAAACCTCCTGGTTGTCTTTGGCATGGGCATGCTTAGAGGTCAGCTATCATGGTATGAAGAAGAACAAGCAGCCATCAGAGGCCTCAAGGAGGCTCCAACTGGCAGCTTCAACTGGGGTCCAAGAACATAACCCCCTTGTTCACAGGACATAGAAGAACATAATCCTTCAGATGACTCTAGCCCTAGGCAGAACATGCACCTCCATGTCCCCAGCACCCCAAGAGTTAGAGAACCAGAAGACCTCATTTCTACAGTTACCAATATCTTCATTAGAGAACTTAATTTTTGTTTATTTTGTGAGTTGATTTCTTTGGTTATTATTGTTTGGTCTTGTTCTGTGTTGGAACACAGTCCAAGAAAGAAGCTGTGTGAGAATTCTGAGAGCGTGTGAGAAAACTCAAAGAAAATAAGGCAAGAGTCTTGTAATCTGTTCCTTCTAAACAGGGGTTTGTTCTAGAAACATGATCTCCTGCCCCTCACAGGAGTGGGTTTGCTTCAGATTACACATTGCAGCTTACTTTTGTTATTTAAAGATGTTTCCAAGTATGGGTGTCCTTGTGATGGTATACAGTTTGAGCTCCTATGACCCTGCTAAACCATTAGAGTATAAATTGTCGGATACTCTGAATAAAAGTTGACTATTGCATGAGACTTTAGTCAGTTTCATTTTTAGGTTCTGCTTTCCCAGATTCATCCTCCAACTAGAGTGGTAACACTATGTATCTCTGGCTGGTCTGTCGCTTGCTATGTAGGCCAGTCTATCCTCTGTAGACCAGTCTAACTTCAAACTTGTGGCGGCTCGCCCACCTGTCTCCTGGGTGCTGAGATGACAGGCGTGCACCACCATGCCCAGATGTGTGCTTGTTTCAGGACGTTTTCCCGTGTGTGTGTGTGTGTGTGTGTGTGTGTGTGTGTGTGTGTGTGTGTGTGTGTTCGAGTGTTCAGACATCATGTGGCTGTGCGAGCAATTTTGGGAACACAGATGTGGATACCTACACTTGACATTAGGCATCTTCCTCAGTCACTCTCCACTTTATTAATTGAAGTAGGTTCTCTTGCTGAACTCAGAGCTCACTAGTTCTGTCTAGTGTAACCGTCCAGCTTCCCTGGGGATCTCCTGTCTCAACTTCCTGGGCGATGGAGACACAGGTAAGCTACCAAACCTCCCTGGCTTTTGTGTGCCTTGTGTGCCTTCAAACCCCAGTTTTTGTGCTTGCTCAGCAAGTGCTTTATCTACAGATCCATCTCTGTAGCCCCAGAGCGATCAATGTCTTAAAACTTCCTTCTGCATTTTTGTCTTTATCAGCACAGCCTTCCATAGACTCTAATATGAATAAAGCAGATACACCCAGTGCTCTTGTGGTTGAAAGGACAGTGTGTGTGCGTGGGGGGGGGGGGATTGGTGAAGACAAGTCACTGGCTTGTGTCAGCCATTGCCCCAACACTTTCCCCCACTCAGTTTCCTGGACCTGTGAGAAGCCACATTAAAAAAAAAACTGTATTCTGGGCCTACAGAGGTCCTGGTAAAGTTTTACACACCTAAGTGACCCCCTAGGTAAGATCCTTCTCAATATCCTGATTCAATATTCTGAGACTCAAAGGTGTCTTTTAAGCACATTTATTACCTTTAGGGGTTCTTTGTCACCCTTAATGCCAGCCTCCCTTTTATAGAAAATACACCATTTCATACCCCAGCTTTTCTTGAGATCTCCAGACTCAAACCACTGTGTCTGTGGCAGGCTCCCTTTCAGCAAGCAAAGGGTGGTAATGTGCTTGCTCTTCTGGCCACTACCACCAATGAATAATTCTAGATCACTCGCTCAACACTCCCTCCAGTCCTACCTCATACTAACCCACCCTAACCCTAGCCCTAACCCTAACTCTAACCCCACCCTAACCCTAACCCCTAACCCTAACTCTAACCCTAACCCTAACCCTAACCCCCCACCTCCATCCCCCACCCACCACTATCTGTTGCTGACACTGCGCTTCAAGTAATCTGAGTAGTGTGTCAGGAGGAACCGTTGGAAGGTGCTGCTATAGAAGATTCCAGAAGGGATCAGGTTCAGGAATATTGCCTGGAACAGAAAAAAAAAATGAGCGTCTGAGACAAGAGCAGAGCAAAGAAATTATAACTCAGCCAGTTCAGAGCCAGTCACTTAAGGTCAGGCCAAGTAGTTCTAATGCTTAAGGTCTTGTGACACTTTGCAACGGTGAACTTCTTAGACACCCGAGCTGTCCCTTTAAATGCCCTTTGACCATCCTGACAGGCTCTTTCTGAAGGACATGCTAAAACAAGAGAGAAATCACTCTGTGCTGACCACCCAGCACACCACACCTCTTCTTTCCGCCCTATAGAGCATTTCCGGAAGCCCCATTTCCCAGGTGGCTTTGTACTCTTTCTACCATGCTTCCTTCCTTGTTTACTCATAGCAAAGGAAAAACATTTCTTTAGAGGCCCAGCTTTACTGAAACACAGAGCCAAGGGTGTTCCTGTTTTTCCTACCCAAGAACTCCCAGGAGCCACTAAGTGGAGCCTTGGTGTTATTTACAGGCTAAGCACATAGGCCTCAATTCTTAACTACTTTCCCTTGACATACCGCAGCATGCTGGCCCTGTGAGCTTGCTGTGAGAGAAGATGGCTGACGTCCCCCCCCCAACAAGAAAGGGCAAGCCCCGCCACGCCCAGGATGTTGCCTTCCTCACTTGCTTCTAAATTAAGAAATCATTGACTACCAAGACTTCGTGTGCAAGACATCCGCAGGTTTCATCTCCAATGGCGACGTATTTCAAGGACTCTTTAACAAACTCATCGGCAGTCTTGGTCACCATGTTGGTGTTTAGATACTTCGTCATTGGGGTTGAGACAGCATAAGGGGTCAGGACCTGCGGAAGAAAAACGATGAGCGTGACACAGAACTGCACAGCCCAGCGGAGACCGAGGCATGAACACACATTTCACCATCCATCCCCCAGTCCCTTTCTACCTGTGAACTGTTTTAAGATTGGTGGCACACGCCTTTAATCCCAGCACTCGGGAGGCAGAGGCAGGTGGATCTCTGTGAGTTCGAGGCCAGCCTGGTCTACAGAGCTTGTTCCAGGACAGCCTCCAAAGCCACAGAGAAACCCTGTCTCGAAAAACCAAAAAGAAAAAAAAAAGACACAGAAGCTGTCACAAAACTGGACAGCAGGAGGCTTGACCACTCAAGACCAGGCCTGAGCTGCTCATCTCGAGGGGGCTCAAACGCCCGTCGGTGCGCACGGGGCAGCTGGCAGACCCAGCAAACAAAAGTGCAGCCTGCAACAGGAGAAAGCTGAAGTTCAGGGAGGGCTGGAGGGTAAACTGGGAAAGAGAGTTTCTGCACTGGGCCCAGCGTTCGATTCCCAGCACCACATACACAAATGCAAGGAACTCAAAACTGGAGTTCAGACCAGCACAAACCAGTCACCATAATTATGTCCCAATCATTGCACTGAATGGACCCTAGAAAGTCAGTCAATCAGCCTGGAGTGGTGGCACAGACCTTCGGTCCCAAGGCTGAGGAAAGGGAATTAAAAGGCCAAGGCCAACAGGACTACTAGTAAAACTGTGACTAGTAAATCAGCAGACAGATTTATTCACGTTCCTTTGAAAATCAAATGTAATTGCGCACCCTATATTAAGTCTGGCAATGCTAAGTGACTGAGGTTCTGTGTATGTATGTATGTTGTTGTTGCTGTTTTGGTTTGGTTTGGTTTGGTTTTTTTCTTTCGAGACAGGTTTTCTCTGTAGGTTTGGAGCCTGCCCAGGAACTCACTACGTAGACCGGGTTTCCCTGGAACTCGTAGAAACCCACCTGCCTCTGCCTCACGGGTACTGGGATTAAAGGCGTGCGCAGTCACCACCCAGCTCTGCGTTTGTAAATTCTAAGACACATAACTAAAGCAGGAGCCACCTAAGGTGCTCTGGACTCCCTCCCTCGTCCCGAGAGGGTCTCACACACGCAGTCTTTTCTGTTGTAGTAAGAATTATAAACCACCGTGCCGATGGTGCTCTGGACATCCAGTGCTGTGCTCCCAGCCATGTCTAAACACGCTGCAACCTGACTGAGGACTGAAAACCAGACTCCTCACATTACTGTAGACGCAGAGACCTTTCAGATCCTTAGTGAGGAAAAGAACAGGGCTGTCAAGATGGCTCCCCAGGGACCTCATGGTACAACTCTTCTGATTTCCACACATGTGCCTTTGTGGGAGCTCTCTCTCTCTCTCTCTCTCTCTCTCTCTCTCTCTCTCTTTCTCTCTCTCTCTCTCCCTCCCTCCCTCCCTCCATCCATCCCTCTCAACTATAGTAAAATTCTTGGAAAAAAAGGAAGAAATACAATTCATTTTAGCTCTCCTGGTTTCATCACAACTCTTTCGTAATTATGTTGTTCTATAACTAAACCCACTTCCTGGCCAGCTGGTCTATTTGAACTTGTTCTTAAGCAAATTAATGCTGTGATTTATCTGCCTATCCTGTTCTCTGCTTCCAGGACCTCAAAGGATAGCTCTTTGAGAAAAAAAATTCCAATTTTCAGATAGCAAAATAGTATTTTCATTCTTGGAGTTAACTTTGGTGAAGAAAACACTTTTGTTTATAATGTAGGGACTCAGTAAATATTAAATGATTAGATACTATATGGTAGCCAAAAATGTATGGTGATAATAAAGGCCCATTTCATGGGTGGAGAAACTGAGGCTCACAATTTAAACAAGTTATCCAGTATTGCTTGGGTGATGTGATAGAACTGGGAAGAAATTCAGAGCCAAGGAAGCAAGAGACAGCTCAGTTGGTAGGTACTTGATATGCTAATGAGAGAGACAACTAAGGTTGTTCTAAGAACCCCACACACACATACAAGTACATACATACGTACCGGATCACACATACATACCCGCTCACACAGAAACATGTATACATATACACGCTCCCACACAAACATGTACGCACAGACATACCCCCCCCCACACGGATATGCAACACATACCCTCACATGCATATATAACACACGTGAAAAAAATATGTAATTTTAACTGTGCCTGCTTCATTTCTAATAGTATGTCCTAAAACTCCTTCCCAGACTGTACTACTAAACCAGGCACATGTAACTCACTGACACCCAGGCTGCCTTATCTTTCAGCCCAGGGATGGCAGTGACAACCTCTTTCAGTTAGTGTAGGTAGTCTCCACAGTGGCTTGGTTCCTCCTCCCGTTGCTCAAGGACCAAAGTGTGGGGATGTCCATAGCCCATCACAGGTAAACCTCACCCAGGGGAAGATCCATTTCCCTCCCCTAGTCCCAGCGTGTGTCAAGTGCCCAGCTTCCTTTTGCTCCTTCTCCACATATCAAAGAGGAACCAATAGTTAGGCTGTTTAATACAGCACCGTGCAGCAAAGGGTCACAGCATTTCCCTCCCAGACATCTCACGTAGCTCAGGCTAGCCTTAAAGTTGCTGTGTGGTAAGGATCACCCTGAACTCCTGATCCTCCTGCCTCCACATGCACCACCTCACAGACATGCACCACCACACCCATTTTTATGCGGTGCTGTGGATGATCCGCAGGGCTTTGTGTATGCTAGGCTACATCTCCAGTCCTCCACGGAATTCTTGCGCTACCATACCCATACTCAATTTCCCTGTCCAACCGACACCCAGGAAGAAGGGGGAGCCAGCAGAAATCTCAGCAGCAGGAGGGGTTGTAGAGGCAGCAGTTGACCTGGTCTTGGTCAGGGAAACCCAACAGCATCTCTTAGCCTATCTTCACATGTACAGCCTGTTTTGCAACGGGTGATAGATTACCATCCAACCCAGCCAAAGTTCCCACTTGGGAGGGCCCACAATTGTCCACCTCACCTGGATAATGATTCCTTTAGCTCTGTATTCTACATGCAGGGCCTTGGAAAATGTGCACACAAAAGCCTGCAGTGAGAGAGAAAACACCTCAGGTCCTGGAGTTTGCTTCTTCCTGCCCTTATAGACAGGTCCCTCAGGTTCCCAAGAGTATCGCAGACACTTGCTGCTTGGAGGAAGAAGGAAGAGACTTGGATGGCTTGTCACTCACCTTGGAAGCAGAGTAGAGGGCATACAGAGGCCAGGGACGAAGGGCTATCCCAGAAGAAATGTTCAAGATGAGGCCTCTCCGCCTGAAAGGCAGAGATTAGAGGCTGCCCTGTTAGCCGCTCCGTCGTCCCACCGCAGTAAAGACACCTGAGGGCTGGAGCTGTCAGAACCCACCCTCTACGACGTTTCCATGGCTCATGAGGGTTGGTTTTGTAAGAACTGTGAGGGAAACAGTCCCCAAGATCTCAAGGAGGACACTGTGTGGTGATGTCACCCTTCGGTCGTGTGACATAAAGGGCCTGGTACTCCAAACAGGAGCTCTGCTATTTTCCTGCCAAGCTACAAAAAACCAAAATGGCTCAGACAAGAGGAAAGGAGAAAGGGGCTCTCCAGTCTCAATGGGACCACGTGTCTTTTTTGTTTATTTCATTTTCTGAAACATATTTATGTTGCTGTATAGTTCAGGCTAGCCTCGACCTTACTATGGAACCCAGACTGGTCTTGAATTTGTTGGTGATCCTCCTGCCTCAGCCTCCCCATTTACTGGGAGGAATTCAATTCTCTTTAATCTTCCCAGTTGGATGTCTGGAGTGCAGTGGCAAGAGACTGAATATTAGAAAACAAAGCTACCCCCATCTTACTCTAGAAAAATTAAACTATCAGCTATTTGCTCTAAATGAACAATAGGTGATGAAAACCAGCCCCTAATGAGTGTTTGTAACAGGGTGACCCAAATAAGGACTGTTAGAGATAGAGAGGGGGCAGTTACCATGGAAATGGAGTACTCAATCTGACAGAAGATGGAATTCACAATAAAAAAGGACATGGTCTTGATCTGAGGCCAACTTGCTTCTTTTATGTTCAACATGAGTTAATTTTCTTTGAAAGCCAATGTGTTTTTGAGACATCTGTTCTCAATCTCCCTCTAAAACACATTACACTTGACCTTCACATATGCACACATATGTGAAAAGCCGGCCTGGCCTTCCCCCCATAACCACTGTGTTCTGTCTTCATAGGTTTTAAGCATCAGCTGAAGCAGCGACTTCATGAGCCAATCCCCCTCCACCACCCAGTCCCCAAACAAAGTGACTGCCAAGGCAGGAAGGCCACCTTGCTCTGGGGCTTCTTCGGTGAAGGGCCTTACCTTGATTCCATGTGTTTGAGAACAAGCTGTGTCATCTATAAGAGAAGGCCATGGTTAAGCCTTGAAAAAGCAACTAAGTAGCAATGAACAGGGTCCTTGGAGGAAGTTTCGGAAGCTTAATCTTCCCAGAAGACCTTGAGAGTTGCTGGCAACCTTTAAGGCCATTCTGGCAACTTGAGAATCTGGCTAGAAGCCACAGCAAGCAACCTAGACAGATAGCAAACCTAGACTATCCAGCCGCCTCTGGTTTCTTTCCCATAAAGTCTCCCTGGAACAGTAGGGGTTGGCTGGAGGTGGCAGGAGGTATTTCTGAGTTCTCAAGGTCCTCCCTATACCAGGGATGAAGGAAGCGTATGGCCGCCATCACACACTTCACCCACCAGCTGGAATTGGGAACTAGCAGAACACTGAACAAGAATCTAGCATCTCCTGTACATCTCAGCACAGGTACATACAGCACAGGTCTGCAGAAGTGGGCAAAAGAAAACAAGAAGACCAATGGCCACAGATGCAATGTGCCCGTGTGTGTGCCTGTGTTGGCCAGAGGCCCTGCAGAAGCTTCTAGAGAGACTCTCCTGTCACTGTATCCATCACATGCACCAGGCCTCTGTGTAAGAGAGTCCCCAGATGTTCTTGCTATGGCTGGGTGGGGCTATGACAAGGAAGATCCAGAACTCTGTAACATCTGCATTGGCCATTGGCTTCCAAGGGAAGTGAGAGAAGGTTGAGAGACTAAACTGAGTTCACAATCTCTAACCTACACACACACACACACATATCAACACACATTCATATAAACACACATGCCCACACACATGCATATAAGCACACACACATTCATATAAACACACATGCACATGTGATGGGGAAGTCCTGTGTATATGTCAATAAAGCACTGTTGGCCAATAGGGAAGCAAGATAGGTGGGACTAGGAGTCCAGGAGGACTCTGGGTAGGGGAAACACAGGGAGTCATGATGTAGCCCGCCAGAGAAGTAAGATGTCCGGAACTTTTCTCCGGTAAGAGAAATACTTAGATTAACAATTATGGGATAAATACTTAAGTCAGAGCTAGCCAGTAAGAAACAAGCAAGGCCAACAGCTTCATAATTAATACAGCGTCTTGTGTGTTATTTGGGGACTACAACGCGGCAAGCCTAGGTGACTAGTAGGGAACAACCAAAGCGGCTGGCAAGGAAAAGGCTTCTCTCTACATACATGCATGCATATAAACACATACACATAAACACAGGCATACACATATGCACATAAACACACACAGAGACACACACATAAACACACATGCATATAAGCACACACATACACACACATGCACATACATATAAACACACACTTATATACATGCATAAACACACACACACACATTCTATGGGAACCACTTGCATCTTTTTGGATACCCTTGAGCATCCTCAGTGTCTCTCGTGTGAGCTCCCTAGCCTTAATGGGCAAATGATCTCACTTACACAGACAGCCCTGGACACCATCTGTCCCTGCCTCAAAATTCCCAGTGTCTAGTCTCTGTGGTGGTTAATCTTCATCATCAGTCTGACGGGATCTGGAGTCACTTAAAGACACAAATCTGGGTGTGTCTAGGAGAGTGTTTCCAGAAATGTTTAGCTGAGGAGGGCAGACCACCCTGAGTTTGGATGGCACCGTTCCTTGTGCTGGAGACCTGAGCTGATAAAGAGGAGAGAGGGGGTTAAGCACCAGCTCTTGTCACTCTCTGCCCCTGACTTTGGACACAATGTGACCAGCTGCTTCCTTCACCACCGTAAAGGGCCACACCCTCAAACTATAGCCAAACTAGCTCTTCCTCTCTCAAGCTGCTTCTATCAGGGTGTGTGTGTGTGTGCGTGCATGGGTGCGTGTCTGTGTCTGTGTTTGTGTGTTTGTGTGTCTATGTTTGCATGTGCCTATACACACAGAGACCAGAAGAGGACACTAGGAGTCTTCCCCTATCCTTCTTCACCTTATTCTCTTGAGACAGGGGCTCTCACTGAACCTAAAGGCTGCTTGGTTTTTGCTAAGCTGGAAACCAACAGGCCCCCCAGAAACCCTGTCCCTGCTCCCCAGCACTGGGGTTACAGACGTGTACAGCCACACTCAACTTTTTTGTGTGGGCACTAGGGATCCAAACACAGACCTTACCTGCTGAGCCGCTTCCCAGCCCCTTTTTCTCAGTAACAAGAAGATTAACTATAATTTCGACTTTCCCGCCTTCCCAGTCCCTCACACTCTGTCTCCCATCTCTGCCCTTGACCAGCAAGAGTGTGTATGCTTGCTTGTACATGCTGCTCCCAGGCAGCATCTTTGAAAGACTTAAAAGACGCCGATCGTGCTTCCAGCCAGGCTAATGAGGGCGTGGTGTATTTAGAAGCTGAGCTTTAATTTACTTCCTTTGTTGCTTAGAGAATTCAATGTCCACAACATACAGAACTTTTTAAAAATGCAAATCAAAGCGTTTCTTCACTAAAGGAATCAGAAGGTTGTCAAATCCCTTTTGGGAAACCTAGATGATCAAGCAAGTCTAATATTGGAAGATCGGTGTTTGAAATGATGAAAAAATGTTCGGATGGCAAGGCTTCCACAACGGCCGAACACATAAACCCTAAAGCCACATCAGCGGGGACTGCTCAGCACACAAAGTCTGTGAGCCGGCGGTAATAACCAAGCAGGAAGCTGTAACGTGCCAGTGCCGACAGGAAAACAACCGGTGATGAAGTATCTATTGCCAGTTCATCTTACCCACCTGAAATTAACAGTGGAGAAGGGCACTGGCCAACTTCCCCTCCTGATAGCAGAAACCAGTCGTCCACAACTATGGCATGTTTCAGCCCCTGAAACTGAGACACACACACACACACACACACACACACACACACACACACACACTCCAGCAACCTAAAACCAGAGTCCCTACCTCACTCTCCCCCAGTACTATTGACTGCCAAGAAAGATCAACAGGGCTACCACACGCAGTTGCAGACCTCGTGGATGAGCGAGGTGTGCATAGGCAGAAAGCTCAAAGCTCACTCACTAGCCGTGTAGTGTGGTGGAGGCAGAGGGGTCCAGCACTCAGAGGAAGGGGAAACATTTTGCTCACACTAAGCATCAACTACTCGCCTGCGCCTGTTCTTAAAAGCAGCACCTGTTCCTAAGCTGTCTTTCCAGAGCCCTTTTCACATAAAGGCATAAATGGACTAGCCTCGAGGGGATCAGCATAAATGGCTCTGCAGCTGACCCAAACCAAAGGACCCAAGAGCTCTACATACCCAAGGCATGGCTTTCATCCAACACTGCTGTGTGTCTCTGTGTAAGGGGGGGGATCCGTGTGTGGTGTGCATGGCTCGCATGAAGAGGAACTTCAGTGTCCTCGGGCACCTTCCATCTTTTGTTTGAGGCGGGTTGAGAAGTTCTCATTGGCTGGAAACTTATCATGTATGTCACATTAGCTGGCTCTCAAGTTTCCAGGGGTCTACCTGTCTCTGCCTCCTGTCTCAACATCACTGGGATAACAGGCATATATAAACATCATACCTAGGGTTGCCGGGCGGTGGTGGCGCACGCCTTTAATCCCAGCACTCGGGAGGCAGAGGCAGGCGGATCTCTGTGAGTTCGAGGCCAGGCTGGACTGACAGCCTCGAAAACAATACAGAGAAACCCTGTCTCGAAAAAAAAAAAAAATCATACCTGGGGTTTCAAGACCTCATGCCTGCCACGTAACTAACTGAGCCCTCCCCCCCAGCTACTCCATCTAAAGCTCGTGTAGCGGGTGCAGAATCGGAAATTCGAGATGGTTGGATAACTTGTCCTGTGCTGTCCAACTAATTAGCTTGATGAGCTGAGCTTAGAACACCACAGTAGACCACACACACACACACACACACACACACACACACACACGTGCGCCAATCTGCTAAGAGTGCTTTCTAAAATCTTGAGTAGATGTGATAACCTGAAGTCAACATAAGCAGTAAGTTTAACTTACAAATTAGACATAATAAGATGAATGACTAATAATAAAATAATAACAATTATAATAGTATACCCTAGTAAGAGTTACATATATGTGGTCCCCAGTCTCTTTCTTAAAGCAGAGAATCTTCCTTTTAGCATTCTGGAACCATGGCTGACCACAGATAACTAAATCACAAATAACAAGAGATTACTGGGCTAGAGACCGGGCTCAGAGGTTAAGAGCATGAGCTGCTCTCCCAGAACCCATGTCAGGCAGCTCACAACTGCCTGTAACTCCAGCTCCAGAGCATCCGTCACGTGTGGCGTTCAAGGGCACCTACCCACACGCAGGTATACATATATAAAACCATCACTTATATTTAACAAAAAATGAAGAGCCTAGTCTATAGATGACTTTGAGCTTGATTCAACAAATACCAAACAACGAACACCTAGAAAACCCAGGCCCTCTGTCGTCTTTTCTGTCATAAGTGAATGCCCTTCTCTTAGAGACAAATAAGACATTTTCTTAAAATATTAATTTTGGGGGAACTGCTTTGAAATCCTGAGGAAGTGTTGGTATCGACAGGCCCGGTGCATTCCGAATGCCGAAACAGTGTTCAGATGCTGGAGAGAATGACCCTGTGTCTATCCTTCCCCGACGGGAGCAAAGTAAGGCAGCCTCTGGCTAGGAGCGGTTGAATTTCAGTGCAAGGAACATTTCAGTGTTTTCAGCACACACGTCCATCACGTACCTTGACTACAGAGGTGACGTTGCAGTGGATGAGACTCTGCAATAAATAATCACAGACACGAGTCAGCCCAGTCCTTGGGGAATCGTCCTGGGAGTAAGTTGATGCTAACAAAGCATCTGAATGGGCAAAATGGGCAAAAGCTAAATCTCAGCAGCTCCATCGCAAGCTAGACCTGCACTCTGGCTCCTAGCTGAGGCTCGGTGGCATTGCTCTGTGGTCCCACCCATACGTGAGCCTCAGCCGGAGAGCAGCCTTGGAAATTCAGGATGGAATAGAATCATAGATGCGAAAGGAAGACAGAGATGGTCCCTCGTCTCTGATGGTTGGGCCAACTTCTGACAAAGCAAAAGCAGTGTGCATACAACAGAAATCACACTTAAATTTTTATTTATTCTTTTAAATTTTATTTTGCACTCCAACCACAGTCCTCCCTCCCACCCCTCCTTCCCACCCATTCCCCTGGCCTCCCCGCTCCACACTTCAAGTTTTGAATGTATAGTTTCCCAAGGTCTGGTGCATGTGGTATGATATCCTCTGCCATGCTGCACCTTGGCTGCACTGGGGTCTGCCTCTCTGCCCTGAGAAGCAATCCCATCCTTCTATAGTGTGCCGTGTCTGGAGCTGGGTTGGCCAGGAGGTAAGATTTACTGAGACATTTTTTTTTTAACTTAGGATATTTTCTTTCTTTTTTTTTTTTTTTTGGTTTTTCGAGACAGGGTTTCTCTGTGGCTTTGGAGGCTGTCCTGGAACTCACTTTGTAGACCAGGCTAGCCTCGAACTCACAGAGATCCGCCTGCCTCTGCCTCCCGAGTGCTGGGATTAAAGGTGTGCGCCACCAACGCCCGGCTACCTAGGATATTTTCAACTACAGACTGGGAGGAACCGTATCATCATGGAAAACTGTGTTGAATTCCAAGTTAGACAAAGAAGGGTCAGCACAGTAGGGTTTATAAGACAACAGCATGGGGAGTAAAAAGGTGAACAGTCAGATAATACAAGGTGGAGTTTCTGGCCTAGAGAAGACAGGAGAAGAAAATGCTGGCGAAGCAGGTAAGGACAGGGATGACTTAGCAACCTGGAGCCTTGGCTTGGGCATTGTACACAACCCTCTCCTAGTGAGGCACTTATCAGCCTGGGACTCCCACCTGAATGGGCTGCAAGCACTCCCTGATCCACGTAATGGAATATGTTACTCCTTAACAAGTCCTTGGTGACTCAGTTTCCATTCGGGTATGTTCAAAGACATATCTTGGATGGAGAGGTTGGTTACGGATGCCTGCACAGTAAGGGAAATCTGCCCTCTGGGTGAATTTTTAGGGGAAAGCCGCTTATATCTGCGTTTGCCGTCTTACATCTATAACTGAACATGCGTGTGACTAAAATGAGACGCAACATGGGGAAGCACGTGCAGTGAGAAAAGCTTTACATTATCCAGGCCTGTCACTCAAAACAGGGAACTGCCCAGATGACTCCCCTTAGAAGCCACCCCCTCCTCTCCCAAACCCCATAAACGAAGCTCCAAACAAAACCAGTGCTCCAACTCACAGTGCCGACTGTACTCTTGAAATATACCTGATCTAGCATTACCGATTTTCTTCTCAAAAAGTTCTTGCCACTTTATAATATGTGTGCACTTCCTCAATTGTGTGTGTGTGTGTGTGTGTGTGTGTGTGTGTGTTTGAACAAGAACCTGGAAACACCTGTAACTGTCCAGAGAGTAACTCCCTCAGGAATGCTATAATCATCTTACCCAGGGCAGAGAGAGGAAAAGAGGAAGGCACAGACAAGAGCACAAATGCAGACATAAAGAGAAGTGTGATAACAGTTCAAGACAGACTTGCAATAGGGAGTGTGAAACAGAGAGCACACTTGGAGAGGGTTTGGTGAGGCTAAGCAGCAATGTCCCGGTGACCTGGTGTTCTATGGAGCCGCCTGAGAAAGGAATCTCAATCGAGGACTGGACAGGCTGGATGGACCTGTGGACATAATCTGTAGGTAATGTCTTGAGTGATGATGGCTAGAAGAGGTCTCAGCACCCTATGGGCAGCTATCTCTAGGCAGGTGGTCCTGGTCTATGTAAGAAAGCTTAGCTAAACCTGAGCCCGTGAGCCAGCCAGAAGACAGGCAGCATTCCTCCAAGATTTCAAGTTCCTGCCCTGACTTCCCTTGATGATCGAACTGTGGCCTGGTAGTATAAGTCAAACAAACCCCTTCCCCCTGCACAAGTTGCTCTTGGTCAGAGTGTTTTACCACAGCAACAGAAAAGAAGCTAGGATACCTGGTGCCATAGGCCAGGCAGCAGATACAGGACTTAAATGGACCACAGAGACAACTATGGAACTGAGGCATGGAAGCAAGAAAGGTTGCCCAGTCTGGGGTAACCCCACCACCTCAAAGATCTGGGCTATGGGAAGGGCCAGTAAACAAGTGCCTTCAAGGGCTGTTCAATGCATTTTTAAAAAATTTGTCTCCTGTCCTACAATGGCAGCTACAAGTTTGACCTCTCTGGAATTCTAGAGCGTCCAGCCACAGAATCTGGGCCACGTGCAGTGAAGCCCCCAGCATTCAGACTCCACATCCTTGGCTTCCACTAACTATGGACCAAAAACCTTCAAAAGCACACCTTCCCAAGGTGGTACTAGCTGCTGATAGGGTGAGGGATGTCATTTTTCTTCAATAGTATAGCCACTGACAAATTACCCATACCCTAGGAAATAGCAATCCATCCACCATCCATGGTCATGCAAGCAACCCTAATAAAATTCATTGGTTTGGGAGAAGAAAAAGAAGAAGAAGAAGAAGAAGAAGAAGAAGAAGAAGAAGAAGAAGAAGAAGAAGGAGAAGGAGAAGGAGAAGGAGAAGGAGAAGGAGAAGGAGAAGGAGAAGGAGAAGGAGAAGGAGAAGGAGAAGGAGAAGGAGAAGGAGAAGGAGAAGGAGAAGGAGAAGGAGAAGGAGAAGGAGAAGGAGAAGGAGAAGGGAAGAATCAGAAGTAAAAGAAGAAGAAGGATGAGGAGAAGGAGAAGAAGAATCAGAAGAAGAAGAAGGAGAAGGAGGAGGAGAATCAGAAGAAGAAGAAGGAGGAGGAGGAGAAGGGGGGAGGAGGAGGAGAAGGGGAAAGAGGAAAAGGAGGAGGAGGAGAAGAAGAAGAATCAGAAGAAGAAGAGAAGAATCTGAAGTAAAAAAAGAAGAAGGAGGAGGAGAAGGAGAAGAAGAATCAGAAGAAGAAGGAGAAGGAGGAGGAGGAGGAGAACCAGAAGAAGAAGGAGGAGGAGGAGAAGGGGGAGGAGGAGGAGGGGGGAGGAGAAGGGGGAGGAGGAAGGGGAGGAGGAGGAGGAGGAGGAGAAGGAGGAGAAGAAGAAGAAGAAGAAGAAGAAGAAGAAGAAGAAGAAGAAGAAGAAGAAGAAGAAGAATCAGAAGAATCAGAAGAATCAGAAGAATCAGAAGAATCAGAAGAATCAGAAGAATCAGAAGAATCAGAAGAAGAAGCATTCATGAATTCACAGGAGCTGTGGTTCCTGCACAGGACCAAGCCAGTCTACATTCCAGCATGGAGTATCAAGGAGCTAATGAGTCCCCAGCTCAGGCTGAGGAGTTACTGACAGTCGATGGCTTCTAGGACAGGAAGAAGTGGTTTTCTCTAAGGGTGTAGCCTTGTTAGGCCAACCGTGCTCCAGTGGATGGCTCCACATCCTTGAGGGCTTGGGCAGCACAAACTGCATTCTGTGTCACTGAAGAGCAGAAGACACTAAGTAGAAAAGGCATGGAGGGGTGAGATGGATCTGGGAGAAGTAAGGAGTGGAGGGTGAATAGTTCCCAAGACCTAATAAAATGTTGTATTTAATTTTTAAAGAGTGAAAACAGGAGGGGACTTACTGGGAGGAAGGGGGAAACAGAAGGGAGCAGAGATTACATACATACATACATACATATATACATGCATGCATGAAATTGTCAAAGGGCAAACTCTAAAGTTAGAGTAAAATTTTAAAATGTCAAAGAAAAAAATCTTAAATAAAATAATTAATTTAAATTTTTCACAAACAACATTTGTACTGAACATGTAGACTTGAATGGCTTTGTCTTTATTCTGTAAATACTATGCTTAACTGCTTTCACGCATTTACATCACATTAGAGATAAGTTACCCAGAGGAAGACATGTTCAGCCTGGCAGTGAAGCATGATCCCGTTTTATCAGAAACTTGAAGGCTCAGGGACTTTGGTATCTAAGGGGAGACAACGTGCTTAGATACTGAGAGATGTCTAGACTTTCTATCGCTGAGGCTACATCTAATCACCTGGGAAGACAGACATGCCAAGGGGCTGGCTGCTCCCATGATGCTAGAGCTATGAATTTATTGGGCAGAATTCCCCTTTATGAAGCAGAGCACAGAGTCCCAGACGAATGTTACAGTGGTTAGGAAGATTCTGATGGGCAGAGATGAAAAGTACACTGTAGGGAGAGATCTCACACACCCTCAACACTGACCGCGCCCAAGTGGGCGTGGTCACAGGGCCGTGGGGATAGGAGAGATAAAGGGAAGGGCAGTTCTCAGCTTCTCATGCAAGTGAGTTCTCTCTCTAATAAAGTATCATACAACTCCCCTGCCCGGTATCCTTTGCATGGCTCGTTTACCATCATCACCACACACTTTATATCTATCTAGTTCTAGGACGAAGAGAAAAAATATCAAGACAGTCACCACGCAGCAGAGTCTGGCCTGACCTGGTCGCCATTTCTCTTCCATGAGTCCTGGTGACCAAGTGAGGGGTCCACATCTGGCTGAGAAACAAGCAGAGGCAAAGGGAAGACGCTCACCTGGATCTCACCGGGAGTGTTCAAGAAATGGCTCGGGAGCAGGCTAGGGAGCATTCCGACATTGTTGACTGGCAGAGAGAGGCAAAGCAAAGGGTGTCAGAACAGGTGGGAAATCCTCCTACAGAAACATGCGCAAAGTGATTTCTGTATATGGGTGCTCACTGCAATTTACTGAAAACAAGGGAAGTGGATGCAGGCTGGGGAGATGATCCGGTGAATAAAAGTGACCGCTGCACCAACATGGGAACCTGAGTTAGATCCCCCAGCACCTACATTAAAATAGAAAAGGAAAAAGGAAGGGAAGGAGGGAGGGAGGGAGGGAGGAAAGGTGGGGGCTGGAGAGCTGGCTCATTGATTATGAGCACTAGCTGCTCTTGCAAAGGACCAGAGTTCCATTCCCAGCGCTCCACCCTGGTGGCTCACAAACACATGACAGTGCATATCTATGGTACCAGTACTGCTAGCTGGAGCTCACTGGACAAGTGAGTCTAGCTGAACTAGTGAGCTCTGGGTTCAGTGAAACAATCTGATTCAAAATATAAGATGGAGAGTAATAGAAGAAGATGTCTGGCATTCAATACACACACAGAGAGGAGAGAGAGAGAGAGAGAGAGAGAGAGAGAGAGAGAGAGAGAGAGAGAGAGAGAGAGAGAGAGAGAGAGAGAGAGGCTATTTAGAATGCAAACACATTAGGAAACAACACTTGTGAAACAAGGTTTTCTAACCATGCACCTGAAGGTAAGAACTTCCAATCCTCCTCCTCCTGAGTGCTTGGATTACAGATTTGCACGGACATGCACATGACCTGTAAGGTGCTAGAGATAGGGTAAGCCCTCTGCCAGCCAACCTGCACCTCCAGCTCTGTGTTTCTGGTTTTAATGATACAAAACAGTAGACAGACACCATCCCAGATTTGAAAAACCTTGTTTGTACCTGGAAGGATATGTACCAAAGTGCTGCTGCCAAGTCTGGAGGGCTTTAAGAAATCTGTCCTTCTTGTGTCTGCCCATCCTTTCCAATTTCTTCTTCCCTGGTGTATTTTTGTATTTTTACTTGTAAAAATGTAATTGTGGCTTAAATTTCGGGGAAATTTTAAAATCCAAGTCTTATTTTCTCCTATGTAATGCTGAGAGTGCACTCTATGTGGGATCACAAGATGTCTTCTTTATAAATACAGAAAAAATCTTGATTTCTGAGTAAGAAGGGAGTCCTTTTGTTCTGTTTTTTTGTTGTTGTTGTTGTTTTGGTTTGGTTTGGTTTTATGAGACAGGGTTTCTCTGTATTGTTCTGGAGGCTGTCGGTCCAGCCTGGCCTCGAACTCACAGAGATCCGCCTGCCTCTGCCTCCCGAGTGCTGGGATTAAAGGTGTGTGCCACCACCGCCTGGCAAGGGAGTCCTTTTGTGTGTGTGTAAGTGCATGTGTGTGTGTGTGTGTGAGAGAGAGAGAGAGAGAGAGAGAGAGAGAGAGAGAGAGAATGAAATAAACTGTCACAAAGGTGATTATCATACTTACATGTAAAACCAAGGTCTGTGTTTTTCAATTTACTTACCTAAAATTCCAATCTCTAAGCCTTCAAGTTTTTCTTTAATATGGTCATAGATGTCTTCTTTGGTAAAATCTGCTTGTACAATCTTCACACAGCTTCCAGTGGTCCATTCTGTGTGAGAAGCCACAGGTATTTCTAGCAAGCATCGGTAGAATCATCCCTCTTGATCATGAAGTCCCCAGAATTAAGACAGATTTTGTGGGACTGGGGAGATGATTGAACAGTCAACAGTACTTTCTGCTCTCATGGGAGACCTGAGGCTGGTTTCCAGTGCCCACAATAGGTGGCTCACAACCCCTGTAACTCTGACAATCTCGCCTGGTATCTTCGGGCACACATATGTACACACCCACACAGACAAACACACATAATCACAGTTAAAAATAACAATGACACATCTGAAAAAGAGTTGGAGCTGTGCTTCACAAAGTCATATCAAAATCAGTGGGAATCTTATTAGATACCTAGATCTGTCTTTACCCCGAACCTACTGGTTTAGACACACCGGCCTGAGCCAGACTGATCTACACAAGCCCCCGGGTGATTGACATAAACTCGTTTGAGTCCCCGGAGGAGGGCTGTAAACACCATCTGATGCTTTCCCAGCTCAGCAGACTCAAGTCCCCTCAGCATAGACACAGGTATCCTGTGATTGTCCACCTACAACCCTGAGGGAGCAGACCCTCCTCTTCCCATTTTCCAGAGCGGCAAATTGAGGATAACCGTAGCTGACTAGCTTGTCCAAAGAAACCTATTCTTCACTCCCTCCGAGTTTAGTGCCTTGTCAGCTGTTCTGTGCCTGGTGAAGGCATTTGCAGGCAGCTGTAACAGCTGCAGGTAGAACGTCCCTGTCTGTCCCAGAAGTGCCTTAGCTTTGTGTCTAGACCCAGCTTCTCTAGATCAAAGCTCATGAGACACAGTGTGAGAGTCAGGGACCCTTCAAGGTAAACGACATGGCTTTCTTTCCAATTGCACGATAAAAAGCACATTCAACGCCAGGAGGGAAATGCTTGAGAACACCTGTCCTAATCGGAGTGACTCCTGACACCCAGATGCAGAACAAAAGGTAAATTCATCATTGCAAGGTCACTGAGCCACCACAGTTTGACCCCGTGGACCCCACCCCCACAGCCTTCTTCCATTCTGAACCTCCCCCAAAGAAACAAGGCTGGCCCCGGACAGCCTGCTATCGATAAAAGAAAGTCTTCATAGTTAAAGATTCACACCTTGTGCCTTGATATTTCAGTTAATTATTACCTTGATAATTGTTAAAATTAAATAGCTAAAAATAAGGATTTTGGTCGCTTTCACTAAAAAATATCTAAATAATTCAAAATAATAAAACATCTGTAAAAAAGAAAATGTCTTTTAGGGGTTGTGCCATGTAAAACCTACATGGTAGCCCTGAATCATATCTCTTTTTTAACCTGATGACCGTCAGTTAGCATTCTTTCTGCAAGGAGCAGAGCATAGGCACAAAAAAAAACCAAAACAAAACAAAAAAACCTGACACCATTTCTGGCTCTAAAGGGAGGGATGGGAGCTAAGAGGCAGCTGAGGCTCTGGCTGAGCAGGGCTGATTCCGAAGGTAAAGGACCAGGGAAAATTCCTCCTTCACTCGGGTCACAGAATTCAGGGTGACGACAGCCTGTGCCTTTCACCTTGCCCTTCCCTGTGTATATTGGTCCCTTCTGTGTACAGAGGACAGACGGCACTCCAGGCTCCAGGAAGCAGATGTGTCACAAACAGCGCCATGTTTTCCCAGTTCCACACATGCACCTCCCTTGCCGGGTGGGGTCTACTGGAACCCAGCATCATGCTGACCCCTCCCCCTGATAATGAGTGGGACACGCATATCGGCACTCAGGCAGATACTTTGGCATCTCAAAGGGCCCTGTGTCGCATGGCCACATCATGGCTATGTCTCGCTTTACAAAAAGCGGGGCTGTGTAAGGACTCAGTCCGCATGTGCAAGCTTCCCCTTTTAAGCGAACACACCTCCACATGTTGGCTCCCCACACTCTCCCTTTGTTTCCCCCCTTCTTTCTCTCTCCCCCTTCCCCCTTCTCTTCTTCCCTTTCCTCCAATAAACTCCACTGGTTAATGAATCTCTTGGTTCCTGTTCCATCGCGCGTGGTGGTGCACGCCTTTAATCCCAGCACTCGGGAGGCAGAGGCAGGTAGATCTCTGTGAGTTCGAGGCCAGCCTGGTCTACAAGAGCTAGTTCCAGGACAGCCTCCAAAGCAATACAGAGAAACCCTGTCTTGAAAAAACAAAAAAAAAATTAAATAGAATAACAGGGCCACTCACCAATCTCTTCTGCGACGGCCTGTAGCTTCTCCAGTGTCCGGCTGATAAGTACGACGTTGAGTCCATGTTTAGCCAGCTGCAGGCAGGAATGGAAAGACCAGAAAGACGCTAAGCAGATGAGAGGCATCTTGGCTATAACATGCGGTGCCTGCTTCCCCTGGGCTTATATGTTATGGCGGTTCCTGAGCTTTGAGTGAAACAGCCATTGTGGGTAAGGCTGAAGCCAACACTGTAGGTAGCTGTCCTAAGTGTTGCTGTGTGTTCATTACAGGGCAAGAGTCACTCTGACGGGTCTTCCTGCGCAGGCCCATCATCTGAAACGGGTGCAGCTCACTGCAGCCAACCACAAAGTTTGGGGGTTGTAAACATCACTTTTTGATAGGGACTCAAGTGTGATCTGAGCTGTGCGTTGGTGGCGCACGCCTTTAATCCCAGCACTCCGGAGGCAGAGGCTGGCCTGGTCTACCGAGTGAGTTCCAGGACAGCCTCCAAAACAATACAGAGAAACCCTGTCTCGAAAAACCAAAAAAAAATTAATAATAATAATAATAGTAAGGAGTGTGATAGGACTGGGACTCATCAACTAGGCGTAACTTGCTGACCAGCAAGCCCTGAGGGTCTACCTGCTCCCGTCTCTCCGGTGCTGGAATCACAAGCACACATCAGATCACCTGGCACTTTCATGTGTGTTCTGGGAATCAAACTCAGGTCGTTGGGCTTTCATGTCAAGCACTTTTGTAACTGAGATACCTGCCCAGGCTGCCTGGAGCTGTGAGCTCTGGCTCCCTTCTGACGAAGCTACATGGCACCCAGAGACCCAAGATGCACATCAGAGACCATCAGGACTCCTCTTTCTGGACATTTTCACTAATGTGCATTCTTTTCTATATCTTCCTTGGCCTCCATGGCCCCTGCACCTTTTGCAATTCCACCGGGCTGAATTTTACTCTCCGGCAATAAAACAACTGCTTAGTCATTCCACATGAGTTCCCATTCTCCCTCCTTCTTCCAAATCCATCTTCGCAAATTGCAATTTGTAAGACCCTAATAAAGTCCTTTCTTGTTTGTAGTTTTTCATTCAAAGGTGTTTTCCTGGTACCGGTGAAACAAGTGTGAGAGAGTTTACAAAAACCTGGTGTAGTTGTTTGAGGGTGGATGTTTCAAGAGAGGTGCTAAGATAGACTAGACAGCACTGGGACTGGTAGGATGCTCTGTCAGTAAAGCGCTTGCCACGCATTCATGAAGACCCGAGTTCAAGCCTCGGTGCCCATGTAAACAACCAGCAGCAGCACTTCCAATAATCCCAGTGCAGGGGAGATGGAAACAGGATTATTCCAGGAGATAGCATTTCTAGTTAGTTTCCTCCAAGTTAAGTGAGAGGCCCTGTCTCAAGAAAGAGAAAGAGACACTCAACATAAACCTCTGGCTCCCACACATACATGCATACACATGAGTATGCCTGTGCACATTCACCTGCACACAGAACACATACAAAAGCACACACACACACACACACACAGAGAGAGAGAGAGAGAGAGAGAGAGAGAGAGAGAGAGAGAGAATAGGTAGCTGATCATAAGATGATTTCAGAGATAGAACAAAAAGGCCAATATTGGTGATATTGTGATATAAGCAGAACCATACATTCACTTCTTGTACCTAGCTGGTACAGAGTTTCTAGGCCCTTGTAACTTCCTGCATGTTGGGAATGATAAGCATGTCTTTCCTGTGCATGAGAAGATAAGAACATCATTCCATATGAGAAAGAAACTGCAGGAACGTCTCCTGCTCCTTCTTTGGTCCTGGTCCCTCATTCCTGACCCCCTGAGATCCTTGGAATAGTCTGAGTACTGGGTGTCTCTCGGCACACCAATGAGTCAGCTTCTGTCTGGAGACCCAAGATAGCTTCAGGGTTCAGGACAGAAAATTGTGTAACTTTGGAGTGTTTGTGTTACATCAACAAGAGCAAAGGAAAGCAATAAAGACCAACCAAAAGAAAAAGACAGCTCTACTAAGTAAATCAAAGACAGCATTAAAGCCAATAAATATTGTCAGAAATAGACATTGTAAAAGGCTAACTCTTCCTGGAGACATAACAGTTCTACTCCTGGTCACCTACATGAAAAGCTCTACATGGAAGAGTTAGCACAACAGGGGGTAAAAATGCACCAGCTCAGCTGGAGATTTTAATTGCTGGATGAAGCAAGGAGACATCTGCTAAGGAAACAGACTATATAAACCACACAAATAATAATATGACTCTTATGAACCATACAAACATGAAGCAAGAGTTCACCCTCTGAAAGCTATCTCTGTGAAAAGCCTGGTAAGAGCTGGAGAGAAGGCTCAAGTGTTAGAAGCACTTGCTGCTCTTCCAAAGGACCGGAATTTGGTCTCCAGCTCTAGGGAATTGTCTGTTATCTACAGGCACCTGCACTTATGTGCACAGACCCCTTCCCCAATGCATAGACATAATGCAAAAATGTATATGTGTGTGTGTGTGTACGTGTGTATACATGTTTTATATACATAGGCTTATATATGGATAACAGTCACACAATTCCAGCCAGGTGTGGCGCATACAGGCACACGTCGCAGCACATGGGAGGCAGAGGCAGGAGGGTTGCTGCACGTTTGAGGCCAGCCTGAGCTGTGTAGCAAAATCCTGTCTCAAAAACAAACACAATTTTAATTAAAGTACTCCCTGCACTATACAGTAAGAACCTGATCTTTTCAAAGTTATTTTTAATTTTTACATCATAAAAAGAGCATAGTGAAATAAATCAAGACTGAGAAGATGGTGTCGTGGGTAAAGCCATTGCTCTGCAAGCACGGGGACCTGAGATTGAATCTGCAGAAGCATGCGAAGCCAGAGTAGGTAGCACACGTCTATAATACTGCTCCTTCAGGGAAGTTGAGATGGGAGGTGGAGAAAGGCAAATCCACAGAAGCTCACAGGCCAGCTAGCCTGGCACATGAGGCGTCTACAGCAAGAGATGCTGTGTCAAACAAGGTAGACGGTGGAGGCCAACATTTAAAGTTGTCCTCTGACTTTCCACTGTGGCAAACATTTGCCTGCACTCATACACACATGAGTTCATTCCCATGTACACAAGCATGCATACACATGGGCACACACACATACACAAAGCATGTGCACATGCGTGCACACATGCACACACTGTGGCAAACATTTGCCTGCACTCATACACACATGAAACACGTAGCCATGCACACAGGTGTGCACACACACACACACACACAAAGACATTAAATTTTATTTTTATTTTAATTAAAGAAATGAGACAACTCAGTTCAAAGGTGGGCAGGTAGTTGCAGCACTGCTTTGGTAGAAACAGAAAAAAGGCACAGAGAAATGGAGGCTTCAGAACCTGAATGATAGCTCTAGAGACAATATCATCAAACATCTTCACCATGCAAGTCTCAGAAAGAAGCAGCAACCATGAGGTGGATTGCGGGGGAGGGGGCTGCAGTAAGCACTGATCACATTGCCGTTGGGGCCTAGCTAGCCCAGCTGTCTTGTCTACAATGGTTTCTTATTTTCTGAAATGGGGATGGAGCCTTCCTAGTGAGTCCTAGGAACTAGATGGCACAATTCCTGCTAAAATTCTTTAAAACTTACTAAGGTCTATTACAGGGGCTGGAGAGAAGGCTAAGAGCAGCTAAGAACGCTTGCTGCTCTTGCAGAGGACCTAAGTCCAGTTCCCAGAACCCACATCAGGTGTCTCACAACCACTTCAGTTCCTGGGGATCTGGTACCCTCTTCTAACCTCTGCCAGCACAAAGTATGCATACAATGCAATTAAATACATGCAGGCAGCCAGACAGTGGTGGCGCATGCCTTTTTAATCCCAGCACTTGGGAGGCAAAGGCAGGTAAATCTCTGTGAGCTCAAGGCTAGTCTGGTCTACAGAGTGAGTTCCAGGACAGCTAGGGCTGTTACACAGGAAACTCAGGCAGGAAACATGCAGATAAAACACTCATGCACATAAACTAAAGATAATATTTTTTAATGAGAAGGAAAGAAAAATATAAATTTTTTAAATCAATCCAAGAGAAATAACTTGAAGAATTCCATAATCACTTAAAAAAAATAACAAGTGTTTTCCAGTCCTAGCACTTGGGAAACAAATGGATCTCTGTAAGCTTGTGGCCAGCCTGATCTACATAGTACTAGGACTATGTAGAGAGACCCTGTTTCAAGAATAACTAAATAAATAAACAAATAAAACACAAAAACAGTGTTAATAAGGCAATAAGGATATAAACTAGTATTTTAAATTGGCCCACAAAGAAAATTGCAGGCACAGATTATCTTCTGGGTAAATTCTACCAAGCATTCCAACAACAACAAAAAAATCATTCTAAAATTGCATAATCCTTTAAAGGAATAAAAGGAGGCCAAGTTCTCTCTTTTTATGGAGTGCCTATAACCTTGACACCTCAGACTCTCTAGAGAACAAACACCATCATTTAGTCATGCTGACCATCGGGAAACATAGCCCATGACTTGGCAGTTCTGGTCTTATGGATGCTGTTAATGTACTTGCCTTTCCTCTAAGAGACAGGGACAGACATAATGGGAAAACATGGGTGTCTATTGACTGAGGAAAGCATACCTAAATTGGGACACACCGGAATGCTATAATGGAGTGATAATGGGACACTCTACAACACTAAAGAATCAATGGACCACATTCCAGACACATCAGCAAGGATGAATTTTTAAAAGGCCAGATGGGAAAGGTAAACTAGGGGTTGGGGTAGCTGAAATCACACAGACTAGATTTTAAGAACTTCCCTGCTGGGATAAGACAGCCTGATACAGAGCAAGGGAAGGAGATGATTTCCAAGGCCAGGGCAAGACAATTCCTGTTCTTGGGTTGGTGACTTTAATGCATGGATGAACTCTGGGCCATGTCCAGCAGACACCAGGAACATTGCCTCCAGAATGGTAACTGTTATCATCTGCCACACTATGGGTGGAGAGCCCTCCTAGAAGCTGGGGAGTAGCACCCAAACTTCGAGACAAAGAGAATAGAAATAAATGGCTTT